CCGCCACCCCCCCCGCAAACAACAACAACCGCCCCAGTCGCGCAAACTACACCCAGCATTCCCACCGCAACCACTCCGCAAACTACAACAACCGGCCCAGTCGAGAAAACTACAACCACAATTGCCACCGCAACCACTCCGCAAACTACAACAACCGGCCCAGTCGCGCAAACTACAACCACAATTGCCACCGCAACCACTCCGCAAACTACAACAACCGGCCCAGTCGCGCAAACTACAACCACCATTGCCACCGCAACCACTCCGCAAACTACAACAACCGGCCCAGTCGCGCAAACTACAACCACCATTGCCACCGCAACCACCCTGTTAACTACAACAATCGGCCCAGTCGCTCAAACTACAACCACCATTGCCACAGCCTCCAGCCCACTAACAGTAGAACAAATCACAACACCAACAGCCATACCCTCTACATCCACTCCTCAATTCACAACATCACCATTAATTGTTATTACCTCTACACCAACCCCATCTGCACAGAATACTACTACCATCCCTACAAAACAAAATACAACAGTTCCTTCTAAACCAACTACAGCATCAAATCAATCATCAACTACTCCATCCCCAAAAGGCTCAAATCATGGTAAGTATAATGGATTCTGATGTTTTACACTATGTCCTAATCTATTTATAGACATACACTCACCGGCCATTTTATTAGAAACACCTGTACAACTGTATGCAATTCAATGCAACACTGAATCCAAATATTTTGGACCTCTCATGTATGTAGCTGGGGTGGACAAAAATATAGAGACACCTCTGAATATATAGTCTGAATATATATGTAGTCCAACATATAATGTAGTACAACATCACCTTTCGACCTCAACAATAAACATATAATTGAATTTATATCATTATGACAATTTCACTGAAACATTTTGAGCTTCATAAACACAGATGCTAAGGCAGACATGTTGCATTGAAGTGCATATAATTGTAAAGGTGTACCTAATAAAGTGGCTGGTGAGTGTATACAATACAATGAGTGCACTAAGTGAGAACCTTTCTGACCTACATTATAATGTTGGGTTACTGTACTTCTAGTTGTCGTAGCTCTGAGAATGAGGGTCTCCGCTTTGTCTACGCTGTCTGAGGACTACATCAGGAATACCATCACACAACTGGTCAGTCTCTTCTCATCCAGTGAGAATTATATTATATCGGTGGAGCAGAAATTTGTAACAAACGAGTCTAGAGATAAATGCGAGGCATTTGATAGTCTAATTGATGTATACAACAAACAAACAATAAAGATTCAGAAATACACCGTTTGTGTTTCAGAGCTGCCATTTCAAAACCATAATATCTCAAGTAACATATCTGTTCACTGTTTTTGTTTCCTTCTACAGGTTAAAGGTGAACTAGACAGACTATTGCTACCAGCAGATGTCACCTTACATCTTGTGAGCAATGCTGGAGGAAAAGTTACAACAGCGACCCCTTGTGGTTAACT